AAAGATACTTGAAAGATTGCGAGGTTTATGTGCAGCGATATCGGCCGACAACGGTTAATAGGAGCAATGTTGACCCTTGTATAAATCTATGCTACAAAACCACAGCTGCCAGTGACTGCGTACTGGAGATGGAACGTCTTTTTAGTAAGTGATTGCCTTTTACATGCTTTTCTAGAAGGATCTTGTCTAATGAGGTTGAAACAAATCATATTTGAGAATATGTAATGATGAGTATTGGCGAAAGTTTTAAACATCTGAATTTTCATATCAAGTAAATTACAACATTTTTTGAGGAGTCAAAATTCTAAAAAAATGAGGGCAAGCATAAAGCTCAGTCCCTCATGTTCAGCTTTCATTTAAGGAAAGTGGTGTTTTCAGTGGCAGTGACTCACGCTCGCTTCGACCAATTAACAATATGCAGCAGGCTGCCTGGTGACGGAAGGCGATTATACCGTATACCTCAGATGGAGAGGGAGACAGGTAATTTCTTTTAATCCGACTAATCCTGATAGCCAGCGGTATTGCTCCATCTTAGGTAGTCAAGACGGGAGTGATTTCATCACTCTTATTGTAATCAGAAGCTATTTCAATCGAGTACAGATTTTGTTTATTCTTCATTTTATTGCTTGTGTACTTTGTATTCTCGGAGGTGAAATAAGAATCCTTTACAAACCTCTACTATACAATTTTGATGTAGTTTTTGCGTGAACTGACGCGTTCTTTAAACACTTCGATAAACAAAATGATGACAAGTCGTTTAACTCAAACAGATCTAATCTGATCAAAAGCAGAATTACACCCAGTCTTCTCTTAAACACGCTCAGTGCTTAAATATGTAGTTTATCACTCAAATTTGTATGATTCAAATCATAGCTACATTTGTTGAACTTGCATTTCCGCGAGTAGCCTTTCAGTTGACCATCGGAGTCATCAGATTCAACTCTCTACGTGAGAATTATTAGTCTTGTTAAAGAGCTCGAAATTTCCTTGAACTATGAGAGTACATTCATCATACTCATTCAGTTCTGTTGACGTAGACTACCATATTCTTTACCGTATCCGTCACAGCGTTATTTTCTAAGCATGCTCTTCAAAATTGTAGTCTTGCTTCACTTCATATAATACAATTTGAACGTCTAATGCCATTACATAGTCGTTTTAATGATACACATTCGCTTTACATTGTTAGACTTCACCTTATATTAAAACCCATCTTTAATGTGCTATAGTTATGTTTGCGGGATTGAAAGTTTGGAACTTTTACTGTCGTTGTTAGGAAAGAATTATGAAAATTCCCTGCCTTT